ATTCTCTTTCAACATCCTCAGACGAATGAAAGCATATCTGTGGAGTAGAATGGTTAAAAAAAAAATTATTAAATAGCATGAGATATTGAGCAAAGTATGCTAACATGTCTGCGGGCAAAAATGCTGACCAAACTGATATTTTTTGCTGTTAAGAAAGGCAGAAAACAATTTATTAAGTTGCATTTTGTATAATTTATGCTAATTGCATATCGATAAATTGATAAAAAATCGTTTTTTTTAAATTGGTGCTCGTGTTTTCATTTGGGTAAGATTTCAGGCAAATCAACCTTCTCCGTCCCCTCTAGCTAAGATCTCTCCATACACCCATGCTTTGCAATGAAAAACATTGTTTTAAAGAACATAAAAAAAGCGCGCATATTATATGTCTGAAATGCAAACTAACATACTAGTAATATATATATATATATATATATATATATATATATATATATATATATATATATATATAAATTGAACATTGAAGTCAACACTTAGAGGCTCTCTCTCTCTCTATATATATATATATATATATATATATATATATATATAGATAGATAGACACACACACACACACACACACACACGCCCGCGCGCGCGGAAACCTACCAAACTTTATCCGCAACATACTAGAAAAAAAGGAAAATCCAACACTCACTAGCATTAACACGCCCACGATGTGCGGGTCCGTGTTTGATAAATAAAATATTCCTATAACTTTAGTCACATACATAAAAAAAAAAAAACTACATATTCAGTTAAAAAAAAAAAAAAATTGTCCTTGATAATGGCTAAAAGAATAACTGAAAGCGCTCGGATATACAGAACATTTGGACAGTTTTTACGCATTTTGTGTCCAGAAATGGAAACATTTGTACGAGCACAAGAAAAATTAAATAAAAAGCTTAATTGCAGTACCTGTCTGTATTTCTGAGATGAGGTATTATGTACACTATTTGAATTATTCGGACTATTGTCCTCACCTTTGTCGCTATATTTATTACAACGTTTCGGCCGTTGTATATGGCGACAAAGATGAGGACAATAGTCCGAATAATGTTAATTGCAGTACCTTCTCAGTCGTCTTTAAAGAAGCTTGTATAAAAGATGTATTGTTGCCCAAATACACAATATATATATATATGCGTGTGTGTGTGTATGTGTGTCATCCCGACGGAATCTTGCTGGCCTTCTGACTGGTTTGCGTCTTAACACTTATTGACTTCAGCAGACATTTCTATCAAGCAATAGAGCCTTACGCCCTCTCATCTTAATTTTCTTTCAACAGTGTAAAAATTATAGTTGCATATATATATATATATATATATATATATATATATATATATACACACTTTATATAAATGTGTGTGTTAGTGTGCGTGTGTGTGTGTTTATGTATAGTTTTGTAATTGTTTCGGTTATAATTTCTACAGGAATAATCTCGGATTTTTACCAATACGATTAACCATTTTGTCACTTGTAAGAAAGAATTTTGATTTTTAAACCATCAAATGTAAAGATATCAAAAGAAAGGTAACAAGAAACAAAATAAAAAAAGGCAATATATAAGCACCCTGATTTCCTTAATTATAACATATTCCATAGTTATTGTAACACTAAGATTAGCATTATCGTGTAACTACGCCTGTTACCATAATAGCGGCATATCTCATTAATAAATAGAGGGGATCGCACTGTGTAGCTAATAATTATATAGTCATATTGTTTTTTATATTATAGAATGAAATTGATATTTTATATATATATATATATATATATATATATATATATATATATATATATATTAAAGAGTGAGGGGGTAGGAGAAGGAGGAGTAAATGCGTATGATAACATTATAATTCTCAAGCGACCATGTAGATATAAATATACATGTAAAAATTTATTTCGGTAATCAATCGAGCGTTTGAGATCGAGAAAGGGGAAATATGTTAAATCCAATAAGATATGCATAAAATATAATGTGAAAAAGAAATGTGATATATATATATATATATATATATATATATATATATATATATATATATATATTCACATAGAAGAAAAAACACAATCAAAATTTAAAAAAAGTATCTTTCCAGATATTTTTAACGAAACCTGTATTAAAAATGGGTTGCTGCCCGAATAAACAACTATAATTATATGTATATATGAGCCTAGTAATATTGTGAGGCATTGCTGGGGCAACCTGGATTAGTGGTAATGATAGTAAACTCCCGGAACCATACTTGACTCTACAGCTGGAGTGTTCTCTAAGGAAAGTGTGTTATTGCAGGTATGGCTAATGTTTTAGAAGCAACGGTTGTATGAAATTATGCGTGACACATAATGAGTTCATTCATTGTATATATTTACTAAAGTGTAGTAAGATCGAATGAACACAAATACAGAGTAGGAAAAATGTGCGCCATCAATCTTTCAAGTAGGGCGAATCTACCCACCTTGAATACCGGGCTTCAAAATTCATGTTTTTACTTGGGATCGAATACCGAGCCCTAGCTAACAAACAAATAAACAGACTGAAATTGAAGCACAATATAATTCGGATAGTAATGCTACAGTTTTTATTTATTTTATTTTACACTCGGGCATTCTCCAATCTTTGTTCATATCGCCAAGGTAAGATTTTTAACCACCCAAGTAATATTAGATTTGTTTGTGACATTAGCACAATTATATCGAAGAATGCTACACTTCATCCAAAGAGAATGATATGGAACAGTGCCATACTGAATGTGTGCATGAAAGTCACACACTCGCACACACACCCACGCGCAAACACACACACACACGTGAATGTGTATATGAATGTCACACACACGCAAATACTGGATGTGTGTATGAAAGTCAAACACACACACACAAATACACATGCTGGACGTATGTATGAAAGTCACATATACACATCCATGTTGATTGTTGAGTGCGTATGAAAGTCATATATATACACATCCATGTTGATTGTTGAGTGTGCGTATGAAAGTCACACACATACTGGATGTATGTATGAAAGTCACATTCACACACAGACATACTGATGTGCGTATGAAGGTCGCACGCACACACACATACACGTACACACACACAACCCAGACAGACAGAAACGCATTTATTTGTTTGTTTTGATGAGATAGTTATCAGTTATCGACTGGAGGCTGCTAAAATAAATATCCCGTTGTTCGTATTTATATGTGTGTGTGTATGCATGATAGATAGATAGATATTTCTCTTTCATCACACTGTCTCTTTCACTAACTCTCTCTCTCACATATACTGTGTGTATAAACGTTCATACACACACACACGCGCACAAGAGAAAAATAGATACTGGCCAACATAATGAATATATATATATATAAATATTAATTATATTATCCAGTACTTCTCTCTCTCTCTCTCTCTCTCTCTCTCTCTCTCTCTCTCTGATTATTTACTTTTAGTGAAAGGGAACGATTCTAAGCCAGCAGTTGGTAGTCTTAAGCTTCCACTGAAATAAATATAAAATCCTGAGCTAGGTGCTGGAACAAGCGGTCAAATATAGACGCTAACTGTATTTTTATTTTTATTTATTTACTATGCTATTATTTGAAAAATGTAAAACACGTTAACTACTTACGTTGCTGATGTTTTTTCTTCGGGGCGGGGGGTCTGTTTCTGAGGAGAATTTTACTTTTAAATTTACTTTTACGGGTACTGTTAATAATTGTCTTAGTATGAAAACAGTTAATCTAAAAATAAACACTTTGAATTTAAGATTACGAAATTTGAAGTTTGCTAATATGCAATTTTTAAACATAAAATGGAATAAAAATAAAAGCATTTTTCTAAAAAAAAAGATCTGCGTATAGACTCATAGTGTTAATAGTTAGCTAGCATGCTTGACTTATAAAAAAATCATTGATTTGATATTGATATCACTCCTCACTGGGTGTCTTGTAGTTGTTCTGTGACCAACTTAAGCTAAATAGCAACAAAAGGTAAAATATAAAAATGAATGAATTACTTAACGATGCAATATTTTTAGCAACTTCATCTTTTTACATAAAAAAAAGAGTATCTTAATCCGTAAAATTCATCTGACATTTCGAACCCTTAACTCACCTGATAGCTTTTTAAACACTAACAGTAAAAATAATATTAATAAATACTATGTACAAATAAAGTAGCTACTGCCTGTGATTTTTTTAAACTGATGCACCTTAAACTAAGGTTTGTTAATCTATTTTTTCTTAGTAATCGTCCAAATGTTGTTTTCATACATGTTAAAAATTGGTAGCAAATTAGTTTGGAATAATATAGAGATTGCCTTAACCATGCACTCCTCTTGCACACCTACACAACGAGAGAGTAAGAGAAAGAAAAAGAAAAGATTATCAGATAGAGTGGCGAAAAAAGAAGACGAAGTTGGATCCCTTCCCTCACTTTCTATCTTGGTTTTCTTCTTTTTCGACAGCTACTAAAATGCGTGAGTGAGTCACCGCTGAAATATCGACCAATCACAAAGCATTATGCAAATCAGCGCTAGTCACGTGGGTTGGTTCAGTGGTCGTCGCCGTCGCCGTCGTCGTTGGCGAACGTTGCTTTTTTTCTTAGTCGAGGTCCCTGGCCTGACTACTTACTTTTTTAAATAGTTTTTTTTATTTACTCCTCATCATTAAAAAAAAAAAAATTGATCGCTACTATTCTCTATCTTTGTAGTGACTTGTTCTGCTAGTTGTGGTGAGGGCCAGAAGGTATATATTATTTTTTTTTAAGTAAAAAAAGCAGTACCCCCGTGCGCGGTGAGAGTGGAAAAAGGAGTCGAGCAGCAGAGCCGCCGTCGCCATCATCATCAACATCAATTCATTTGATTTCATCATCATCAGTAGCAGCAGCCACATCATTTGAGAAGGCAGACAGCGGAGGACATACCCTCATCTACCTGACTTTTACGGATACTTTTAAAACATACAAAAGCCACTGCTCGGATAAAAGGTAGCCCCAACATGGAGCGACGACGTCTCGGCGATGTGAGGATCGTTTTGGTATTAAGGTTTCTCTGCCTGTCTGGCTTGTGTGGTCGCCTTTTTGGAGTCTCTCTTCTCGCGGTCGCCACTCAAGCCGACGACCATCATGGCTGTGATCGTGTGAAAGAAAATTATGTACAACACAAGTTCGGTCCGGCCAAAGATGTCCCTGACGATCCTCTTCCCGGTTCGTATTTACTTGGTATCTTTTCTTCTTTTCTTCTTCTAGCCAATGACCGCCAAAAAGAAAGCTGAAAATCGGTTGGCGATCGCTAGATCGTTGATTAATACTCTAAGTGTCAGTCAGTATCCATCTTAAAATGCTAAGTCCGCCATAGATTGGCTTGAAGAAGAGGAAGATGTCAGAAAAATGAATGATCCTCTTTTTCTTTCGTCTTTCCTATTATTATTCACCCCCATGTGTTCATCTTTTCTTACTAGGGTTATTTAGATATTTTTCGTTCTAAACGTTTGATCTCTACCCTAACTTTCCAGACATGTAAACTCCATCATCGATGTAAATGTAATATAAACATTAATCACATCTCTTCACTGCTGTTTGATAGGATTGAAACCTCAACCTTGCAATTTTATTTTTTACATACACAGCTATTTTTTTCTATAGCTCATACGCTTCTAGGTTTCTTTTTGGATTTTTCTCTATATTTCGAGTGTTAATCTTTTTCTGTCTTTATGGTTTAAATTTATTTAAAGAAAAAAAAAAGGGCGCATTATTCATCAACCATTTCTCTCTTCTCTTTGAATCCACCTGAAGATGTGATTTTTGTGTGTGGACCCAGACTCTTCTTCGCTATGACGTCAATTTTCTTATCGTGTTTCCAAATTCTAAGGAAATAAATAAAATCACTTAGCACCCTAAGCTAAAAAAAATTATCTACTTTCTTAACAATAAATATTAAATTATTTAATTATTTGTACCTAGTCTTCTCATTTCACCTCCAAGAAATTATTTCTTCAAAATGAAAATAATAAATAAATAAATAAGCTTAGTTTTCTTTCTTCCTAAGACGCATTAACATAAAAATGATGACATCTGTATTTTTTTTGTCAACACATGCACACGTCGAGTAATAGGTGAGTGTTGGTTTAATTGGGGATGGATTCTACTTAATTTTGTTTAACTTTGTATTAAGTCAAAGTGTAAGCAAAACAAGTATAAAAAATTAGCACCTAACCTTTTCTTTTACAGATCAAATCATATCATCATAGCCATAAGTAATTAAAAATCCCTCGATAAAATACATAATAAAGCTTCTTACAGAACACTGAAAAAAATCATATTGGTATCTTAATTTTACTACACAGATTAAAAATGTTTCCTAAATAAACATTCATTAAACAACCAGGAAATGGTCTTAAAGTCTCTATTTTTTTATATTTATATTTTATTAGTGTTAAATTAATCAACTTTTAAAATATTTATATAAATTATGAGTTCTGTGCCGACAAATCTCAATTCCAAATCTCCCAATTCCTGACCCTCCTCGATTGACTCTATAAATTTGATAACCCTATCGCCCCTCTTAATACTACTTTTTAGATGTCTATTATCGCCTGATCAATTTTAAAAGGGTTAATGTATTATCCCTGAAGTAATATCGATTCATTTCAAATCAGATATTTACTAATTTCTTTAAAAATATTTTTACTACTCTCTCTCTTCAGAAAGATCGAACCCTGTGTTTCCCTGTGGGGGTGGAAGTTACCATTTTTGCGTCAATATGGTGACTTTATAATATATTTCATTTACTTTAGTTAGGGGTTTTTTTCTGTTGGTTAAAATGCATTTTTTTATGCTGATGATTTTTTTAATTTTTTTTTTTTTTTGCCTTTGAAAGAAATGTAAGCAACAATTTTTGTTGCAAGGGGGTGCTGAAAAGTTCTTGGCCCGGCTCGCTTAAGCTGATCAAACATCAGAATTTGGTGTGTGGGGAGGTTCCTTATTCGGACTAAGAACTTTTCAGCACCCCACTTATGTTTTTTGTTTGCCGTATTGGAAATTAAGCATCAAGGTAAAAATATTAGTCTGTGATATTGATATCAGCGATTTTTTTCAGCTGGAATCTTAGAAAATAAGGAAGTTATGTCCCTTCTTAACGATGATCCTTGGGGTGCCAGAAAGATCGAAATGAGGAATGCTGTCTACCTAATGTACACAGCTTTTCGAGTAGCTTTTTTTCTCCGCTCCTTTTACAGAAACATTGATTGTTGTTTAATCAGTGAATAATCTGATTTACAGAATAAATTAGTTACTTAGTCTTCGATATTTATCAAGTAAAAACCAACTTTATTTACTAAAAAAAACAATTCAAAATTCAACCCGTTTTATGCTTAGTTACACTAAAAACTACAGAGTGCTTTCAAAATGTTTGTAGTTTTAACGAACCTCTCTTAAAGTGTCAGGCTCGTTGGCGCTTAGTACAAATTATTGTTGTCATTTTTTAAAAGATAACTGCTTTTCATTTATTTTATTTTTTTTTTTAAATTACTCTTTGAACGTTGGTGGTATCATCAGCTTGTTCCCCATCTGTTTTTTTATTTGATGACTATAGTCGAGAGGAACAGTTACTACTGTTGCATTATTTTAGGGTCATGTTCCTCCTGCAATTTACCATTTCTCCTTACACAGAAGATTTTACCAACGCGGAGGGTGAGGGCGCTGCTCGTATGACTTCGTACAAGTTCATTCACATCTCTACGTAAAACAGCTCGCTCATAATATCATCTACTACAGCAGCTTTTTCTCTCTCTCACTCACACACACACACACACACACACACACGAAGGCGCCTCTTCCTCATGTTACTTTCCTCTTCAAACTTTTTCAAATTTCGTCCTCTCTCTCTCTCTCACACACACACACACACACATTTTGGTTCTTCCTCATTTATTAATGAATGTTATTGGATTATTAGCCTTCTTCATTAATTTCCTAGACAGTGCACAAGAATAAGTTGCCTAAAAAAGGCTCCGACAATTCGCCTATCAGCATGTGTAAATTTAAATAAAAATAAAAATTCTTCCTTTGTTAAGTAGAATCACATGTTTTCTTCATTCATTCACCTACAGTCGCACTTTTTAATTTAGCATTACTCAACTTAATCTTAGTTTCCTTAAAGCACAAAACACCTGATGATTATTTTGAATAAATTATTTGTCAATTACTATGAATTCCATTCATATTTAAATGAAACTGGCGATTAAGTCGAAGTGTTGTTTTTGTGAAAAAGCCAGAAGTCAGTTTCCTTCTGTTTGCTTTGTCACTGAAGACTAGCTTCTGCGCCAGTAACTACAAAAACAAGTACTAGTCAATTTGTTATATTTATTTTTCCACCTCTACCAATTGTCTGTTGACCTTTTAGTAAATGTTTTTATTTCCAGCAATGGTAAGAATTACCAAAACATAATACGCACATCTATGTATATAAAAAAGGCCCTTTTTAGATTTGTAGTGAATCTCATATCCACTCTCATTTTCTGTGTTTGCCAATGATATTTCAAGCCAATCGCAAGATTTCAAAAATTTTAACGTAACGACAACGTTAATCTCTTTACTTGAACAGATTTTTTAGTTTTTTTTTAATCTGAGTTTGAACTGTCATTAAGAAAAAAACCTATATTTTTCTTAATAACTCGCTGGCTGAAATATAACATTAGAAAATAGTCCAACTAATAAATTAAAAATCGTATTCCTTAATTAAATTAAAATTGTGAATTTGATTAGTTCTTCCTCTCTAAACTAAGAAAATTAAAAGAATTTAAAACATTGCAACAATCCCAATCTCTCTATAAGCATAGTTTACATGTGGCACAAGGCTAAAATTTTTAAGCTTAATGAAACACCTGGTGTGGATCGCACTCAATCGTAATTGATCTAACGAGACAATTGAATTATACAAGTTTTTCTTGACCGGAATTTGAATAGTTTGAATTAGAGACTTCTTGGGTTTAGGTTGCCAAATGTGGTTTTATTTTTACTTTTCATTCACCTCTTGTTTTTAAAATAAGAGTTGACCATTAATTAACATGATCATGCTTCATGAGAAAAACTGGCAAACATCACACCAGGATTTATTTTAAAAAAACAACAAATTTGCACTCACATACACATACAAGACAAAAATCATTCATTGTTTAAAACTCGTTTATTTTTATTTTATTTTTTTTAATTGACTCCTGTACTTTTGTACAAATATTTTCTTTTTAATCAATCAACCTGCAAGTAAATATAATGCTTGGTAATAAAATCGATTTTACTGAAAGATCCTGCCTTATGATACTTCCTATTTCTAAATAAGAGCCCCCCCCCTATCCACAAGGTTGGTTTTTTTTGTTCATTCATCATACCTACTAAAAAGAACAAAGCTTTACTTTGATTAATAAGAAAAAAAAAATGATCATAATTTTGATAGTTCCTTCATTTCCCATGTTTTTATTGATCTGATCTGATTTTTTTGAGGTTTTAATTTTTAAGGTTTGTCACTTGTTTTGGGTTCTCTCAACTGAGGTTTGTTTTCACTGCAGGCACTAAGTTAATTCTTTAACTCAATATGCAAAAATTCTTTGTAACTTTTCAACTTGTTCTTTAATAAGAACTATTTGAAAAGTTACAAAGAATTCCCACCAATGAGAAGATTATGTTCAATTGAATAATTGAACATAATCTTCTCATTGGAAATTAAAATAGCAGTGATTTTTTTTTTTTTTTTTTTTTTTTTTTTTATGTCTTCAAATACATGATGATAATTTTTAGATTTCTTTGTATTTTTATGATAATTCTGAAACACCTTTCCTTAAATTAAATCAGGTATTTCTTATTTTTGTTTTTAATTTATACTTATTTTGATTGGTTTTTATTCAGAATTGACTAATAATGGGATGAAAATTATTTCTGTAAAAATAATAGCTGTCCTTAGTAGCATAAATAATAATAGTGGAAATTTCTTTCTTTTTTACAAAATGTCTTTCTGAAATTACTCTCTAACCGATTCAGATAAAATTGAAATCTGGGATGAAAGAACAGTTGTAATGATGATTTTTTTTTCTGATAGAATCTCTGGGTCAGTGGCATTTTTGACATCTCTGACCCACTTTGCAATATAGTTCTGCTGAAGAAACAAATCCTTCTTGTCATTCTTATCTTCCTATACAAAGGGCAACCTTCAA